TTGCAACAAAAGTAAGTGAGTGTAATTTGGGAAAAAGTAAAAAAAGTATAAAAATTATACATAAAGAATAAAAAATTTTAATAAATTTAATAATCTTCTCCTTTTGAAACAATTTTCTTACCATTTTCAGTCAGGTAAAGAGTGTGTTCAAACTGAGCTACTTTACACACCCTATGGTTTACAGGTCGATCAACTAGTGGTGGATATGCTTCAATGATCTTTCTTGATTCTAATAACTTTACTGTTAGTTTCTCTATCTTATTATTCTTATGTATCAAATGATTAGGACTGAAAGGCAAAGTTTTAATTTCCTTTTTTATTAACTCAAATGCATTTTTAGCTTTCTCATTGTAAATCTTAGGAGTTTTATTTAAATCTTCAACCATGTAATGTGAACACACACCATCATTCTCAATGTATCCTCTTCCAGTAGTGGCAAATGTTTCAACAGCAACAAATCCTTCTTTTACCCGCGAAGGATCATAATTTTTTTCAACCGGAATATGAATACCATCATGAATTTTAAACTGTCCAATTGAATGACCATTTAAATTTTTAACTGGTTTTATTCTAACACTATTATGATTTTCATCTTCAATTTCAAATGACGTCATAACTTCATTTATAGCAGCTCCAACATCAGAAACACAAGTATCGATACCAATCGCCTTAATTCCTGCATAAGTAGCTTCCTTAGAAGCAAGCAATAAATTTTCATATCTTTCATCAAAACATACTGTAAACGCGGCATCAACTATTCTTCCATTGACATGTGTACCAAAATCAATTTTAAGAACATCATCAGCTTTTAAATAAATGTCATCATTCCATGAGTTTAAAGAAAAGTGAGCAGCACAGTCATTAAGAGATATACCACAAGGAAATCCAATTCCATCGTTTAACTCACCTTTCAACATTATCCTAGTGGCATCTTCTACATAACTAATTACCTCTTTGAGTGACTGACCCGGTTTAATCATGTTTTGTAAGTTATATCTTATTCTTTTATGAGCATCTGCTGCTCTTAAAACTTCGTTATACTTCTCATCATTTGTAGTTTCATAATTTTTCGGATCCAAGAATTCAATCTTTTGCTCCTTTGTTGGATTTATTAGCAACATTTGAAATAAAAAATTTTAAGTTTTTATTTAAAAATAATTATTTAAGTAAACAACTAAACACTTTCTGTTTTTAATTGATAAAAAACTAAATTAAAAATTTTATTTGTTAATATAAACTGAATCAACATCAATAATTTTTTGGTTTCCTTTTATAGTTAAATATTGATCATCTTTAGATATATTTATAAATGTACATTGACAAGATTCTATCTTTGATTTTTCAAAAGGTAGATCTGATGAAGTAATAAATAAATTG